AGTCGAGGTTTACCACAAGATATACAAGGTGATTCTTTTAGGGCCTACATTAGAAACGTTTTAACTTCTAATGCAGATAGGAATTTGAAATTTTGTACACAACTCAAATCAACCAGTCTGAGTTCAACTAAATTATTTTTAAAATGGCTGAACTTCCGGAACTACGAGAAATTGGCGCCAACTTTGACATTTTAAATGGTACCCACTTATTTTTATTGCGCTTTTGAATTCTCCTTTTTAAACTAAGTGAAATGTACCTAGTTGTTAGTACTTATCTGTCATAGTTTTTGACATATGTCAATTTTTTGGTTAAAATTTTTAGTTGCAGAGGTTCATTCAAAACATCACAGCTCTTGAACCCTTTGCTATAAGTGAATATTTTTTTTTGCATTCGATAACCAAATGTTTGAAAAGTTTTCTAGAATTTTCAAAATTGTCAACTGTCAAATTGCAAGGCTAGTATTATTTTTTGAAAATGATCATTAAGAAACAGCTATAACTCAATTTTTTCAAATAAAATGACTCTATTTTCTTAACGGCAATCAAATGTACATTAAATTGAACATGTCCTATACCTATCTCTTACAGTTTTTGAAATAATCACGAAAAACATGTTATTGTTTTTATTTTTATAGTTAATCACGTAGGCTTTGGTAAAATACAATAAAGATATACCATCATTAATACAGATGTTCGATATGTTTACCATTTTCAAACAGTCCAAAACTCGATGGTGAACTGCTTCCATTATTTCATTTCGTTGAAGATTATTAAATGCCGTCTCAATCCTGGCCTCAATTCTTCGTAATTCCGGATGGATGTATACTAAATCTTTATGTAAATCTTTTTATGTATACTAATTTACTTACTTATTACTTACTTATTTTTTTTACTTATTTTCTTTTTACTTTTACTTACTTATTTAAATCTTTTATGTATACTAAATCTTTAATACGTATTGATCATTTTCCAAAGCTTACGTGATTGACTATAAAAATAAAAAACAAAAACACGTTTATCGTGATTATTTCAGAAACTGTAAGAGATGGGTATAGGACATGTTGATAAAAGTCCTTCTACAAATCGATGTACTTTCGATTGCCGTTGAGAAAATAGGGTAATTTTATTTGAAAAAACTGAGTTATAGCTGTTTGTTAAATATTATTTTCAAAAAATCATATAAGCTTTGCAATTTGACAGTTGACAATTTTGAAAATTTTAGGAAACTCTTCGAACCTTTGGTTATCGAATGCAAGCAAAATTATTCACTTATCGCAAACGGTTCAAGAGCTGTGATGTTTTTAATGAAACTCTGCAAATAAAAATTTTGAGCAAAAAATTGTCATATGTCAAAAACTATGACAGATAAGTACTAACAACTAAGTGCATTTTACTCAGTTTGGAGAAAAAAATTCAAAAATGCAATAAAAATAAGTGGTTACTATTTAAAATTTTAAAGTTGACGCCAATTTCTCATAGTTCCGGAAGTTCAGCCATTTGAAAATAATTTAATTGAACTTAGACTAGTCGATTTCAGTTGTGTACAAAATTTCAAATTTCTATCTGCATTAGAAGTTAAAAAGTTTCTAATATAGGCCCTAAAAGAATCACCTTGTATACTCCGATTGTGGACGAAATTACATAGGAGCCGCAAAACATTTTAAAGATATAYACAAGTTTATCCAAGATCATAATGAAGACGTTTCGTTTTGAGAAATGTTTTCTTTACTTGTTAGGCAATCTACTATTTCTATAATATAAAAAAGATCATTATCCCAAGATAAATAGTTATTGAGAAAATTGCTTAAAAAGTCAAAAATATAAATACAGGGTGATTCAGCTTAAATCACCCACCTGACCCCTCTTGGCAGACAACCCATAATACGTTATGCACTTATTCCTTGATTCAAAATTAAATTTCCAAAATATCGAGAATCAAAGAATGTGTCGTCCATTTGACAAGTAAATATTTCAAAGCGTCAAATGAAACGTTAACGCAGACGACGTCTCAAAATTTCAAATATGCCGAGATATTCATTTACAAATAATGAAAAAACTGATATGATATTAACTTATGGTGGTAAAAATGGTAAAAATGCTAGATTAGCCGCCGATTCATACGCTCGGCAATATCCAAAAAGAGTACCTACATCCTACGCATAAAATTTTTAAACGAGTGGAAATGTGTTTGTGTCAGAATCGGCCTGCAGGTAAGCGTAGAAGTATAGGTACAAACTGCGACAAGTTTAGAGAAGAAAATTCTGGTGTTGGCGACTGTTGAACAAAATCGGCATATTGGGCAAAGAGCAATTGCAAAAGAAGTGGGAATAAGCCAATCTTCTGTTTCTAGGATTTTAAAAACTAATAAATTTCATCCCTATCGCATGCAGTTAGTGCAAGAACTACGAAATGCTGACTTCCCTCGTAGATTAGATTTTTGTTATTTTGTTTGGGAACAATTAGAAAAACTTTATTAATAATGTTGTGTTTAGTGATGTTTGATTTTGTGTTTTGTAAATATAATCGTGACTTGTGAGCACAGTGCGGGTGACCACATAGAGTATCGACTATGAAATAATTAATTTTTGATTTACCTTTTTCTTTTCTATAAATAAAATTGATATTGATTGAAATGTATTGTTGTATGTGCGTGTGACAGTGACACTTCCGATATTTTTCGCACAGCAAACTTTGATTCATGAAACTTTCAAAATTCTAATATGAATCAAGGAATAATAGCTTTGTGTATTATGGGTTGTCTGCCAAGAGGGGTCAAGTGGGTCATTTAAGCTGAATCACCCTGTATTCAACTATAACTTCTAAACTATTGCAATTTTTTCCTTAACACCAATCAATTCCCCAAAACATCTTACAGGCGTATGGTTTAAAACATTAACCATTTTAGATATAGTCTTGCCGTCATTCACAAGAAAAAGTAAAAACCATCCCGTATAAAAATGGCTTATTTGAACATGTCTTGTAATAGTTTTATTTCGTTAAACTCTGTGAAATACATCGTATAATAAACCAAACTCCATTTTCGCTGGTACGGGAGGCGCTTTGGAGTCCCGTAAATGCTTGGGCACTTAAACATCGTTGACGTAACACCTCCGTTCAACTAAAACAGACCAAAATATTAAACTTTGCGTACCTTAACTGTTTATGTTACCTGTTCCTGGTATTTGGTCTTTAGTTTCCGTTTTACTTTAATTTTCCCTTTTAATTCTAGCCCCAATTTTGGAGGGAGATGGATCAGGCTTGTTTCCTCTCTGTTTTCCGAGTTAGTCCGGGCATCTTCTCCGGGTAATTTTAGTGCTCATGTTCCTCTTGTGTTGTCGTACCGAGTTGTAGGGCGCCTCGGTACGGTTTAAAGGCCCTCTTGTCCTTTTATGTGTTGTGCAAAATGTCTTAAGAGCACAAACCCTTTAACTTCCCTCTTCCTTTAATTAGAAAATTGTTCTTACTTACCTTCGTATTACCTAACTATCGGCGCAATATCGGTTTTTTCGCACAAAGCCACAATTTCAAAATGTAAGCAAACTTAACCTCTTCACCTGTCGTAAAACGCCAATTTCGCATGCGGCTCAAGAACTAAGTGCGCGCTCTCAGAAGATCTTCGCGATAAATTCAAAATTTTTCATTTTCTTTTATATAGGCCGATATTGACCACGGTTCGCGCCACGAAGACGGGCAGGGACAAATCGTCTGACTTTCTAACAACCTTCCTTTTCTGCTGCGGTTCTCGTGGAGTACAGAAGCTCCTGTGCTAATTAACGTGGAAAATTTACCTTATCTAATTTCTTACCTTTCCGGATCTCGGAACTATCGTTTTGTAAATTTCCGCATTGTAACGAAGTAAAGTACCGCATCACTTTCTTTCATCGTCCCTCACAGAGGAAATGTAAGAATTCTTTTATCGCTCGTATCCTTATCATTTCGAAATCAGGGACCCAGGCTGGGGCCGAAATTATCGATTGCGTTCCCAAACTCGTAACCATCGGGGAATCCAACAAGTCAACCCCTTTCTACAGCAAGTGGCTGATCCCAACTTGAAACCGTCAAGCCGTTACCCCAAAAGGGAGCGCCTGGACCACGTGATCTCGCCTAATCGACGATAAGTAAGTACTCTCTTGTATCTCGAATACCGTTTTTTTTGACTCGGACGTTTTGCCCGTCGAGATTTATTAGTACCAACCTCTTCCCTTCATTTTTCCGACAGAAAAATTAAACTTCAATTATTTCTAATTATTTTCAAAATTTATATAACCTTCTTTTGTTAATCATATATTATTAATCCTTTAATTTTATTGTTGTAATTTAAACTCGTAAATTTAAGTTAAATGTGAACATATCGAAGCTGTGAAATGGCCTTCTAAATTGAATTTGTTTTTATTTTTTATTATCGAATTCAACTTAAGTTAATAATTTTTACAACCGGAATTCACTTTATAGTAATTAATTTTTTTTTATATTAAATTCTTTGTTTTTCCTCAAGGCCTTTCTTTCCTACTAGCTGACAAAAAAAAGCTACTTGGCGCCCATAGATAACCCCCACGACTCCGGCTCTCCCCCATCCTCTGAGCCCGGGGACGGTGTAAGTAAATTTTACGTGACAGTCTTTAGATTTAGTTTAAACCGTTTCAACCCTCACCGGTTTAAACATATTGTACCCTGTAGATTTTGACGCCCTGATTATGACGCTGTCAGACTTTTTGCCCTAGCTCCTTTGATTTTTCCGTAATCGTTTTTAAAAGTGATAATTGTCAGAATTATAAAATTTCAAATGCGTTTTTCTCAAAAACTATAAACCAGACAAACGTTTTACATTTATTATTCAATATCTCGAGCAATTGATCGTAGAATATTTTAACCTGTTGCATCATGTTCAGTGCGTGATTTCAAATGAATTATTGATAATAATCATCTTTTGTTATACATATCTATTCAGATAAAGGATTCAAATTACACTACAAGTTTTAATATAAAATAATAAAAACAAATATAATTTTAAAAGTTTTATCAATTTTATTTAGACAATTTTTACAATTTTTAAAAATTAAATCCAGTTTCGTTTTGCAAATTCTGTCACAATCAACTCCAGCTTCTTTTTATGCAAATCCGAACAAAATGTATCCATCATTTTGATAAACGTATCTGGTGAGAACTCGTTCAATTCTTTTACACTACCTTTTGGAGCAAAAATTGGAGTACACATGAAAACAATATGACCAAATTGCGAATTTGCAGCTTCCAACTTAAGCTCTTTCTCAAAATTTTCAAAACTAAACGGTTTCGTGTCACATTTTAACTGTTTCAAAACATCGATAAAAGTGTCATGGTACAATTTTATTAAATTATCACACTCGTTCTTAATTATGTCATTTTGAACACTTGAGAATAAGAAAAATATCAAATCTTTGGCGGGTGAACCATAGCCGTAAACTTGGAAATCCACCATCTTGTTTTTCGTGGGTTTCCCCGGCTCAATTTTAACCATGGTGTTATTGACCCAATAATCGTTGTGGATTAAAGTCGCAAAGGGTTCTTGTGGTGTTGTGGCCCAAACTCGGGGTTTCGCAAGGATCGTTTTGGCCCTTTCGTAGTATGGCGAATTGAGCGCACGAATTAAATCGCACATTTTTTCCTCCGTTTGACCGTCATCATCAGGCGGATTAAACGGCGTGAGATGTTTCTTGATATTTTTCTCAAAAATTTCCGGTTTCTTGATTTTGAGACCGAGTGGAACGGCATGCAAATGAGCTAAATCCTTAACTATGACCTTTGAAACATCAAGGTCAAACCCTATCGTACGGTCCAAGTTGACAAAACCCGCCATTTTGAGATTTTCAAGCAACAAAATGGCATCTGAATCGACTGTATCCGAATTGTTTCGATTTAATCGACTCCCTAAATATTTAGGGAAAAAGTCAATTAAAGTTGGCATTCCTTGTTCCTGTTGAAAGTTTCGCAACGTTGGCACTATGTCTTTGTAAAAGGCGATTTCATTCCGGAATGTCACTGGAGTGTTGAATATCTTCTGGATGAATTCGTTGGGTGGTACCATTTTTGCAACCGCATTTATTTCACTCGTTCCCTCGAGAGTTTTAACTGTGATATCCACACTGAGCATAAGACTACCATAATTTTCACCAGGGGCGGTCAAACGACGCACTTTATGTCCTAGAATGGTACACTGAGGATCTAAAGAGACCACTTCTTCAAGACAATCAATTTTTTGCACGTCCATTCTGACAAACACAGAGAGAAAGTGAACATTTTTGCAACTTATAGATGAAAAAAGTGACAGATTAGATTGTTATCACTGGAACTTGAAGACACACTTGAAGTCAAGGTCAAGTGTAAAATCACCTTTAAGTTTTTTAAGGTTTGTAACCACCCACGACACTTATTGCTTTTTAAATGCCTGATTTTTCATGCAATTTAAATGTACCTACATTTGTAGTTTAAATATATATATTTTTAAATAAGCGTCGTGTATTTATTTATTTTATTACGGAAATTTAACTCGCAAAATTTTGTGCAGACAGACAGACAACAAAGCAAGTTAAATAAAAGCTTATAAAAATAAACGAAATTCTAAAATTAACTTTGTTATAAATGCTTCAATATTAAATTTTGAAGAGATTTGAAGAGTAGCCTATGAGTTTAAAATTAAGTTGGCAATATTGAGAAAAGTAAAGACAGCAATTAGTTTAATTAAAGAAATAAAAATTTATACAACAACACTATAAAAATAAAAAAGTTGATAATCAACTACTCGTAGCACGAGCTAAACGAGCTATTTAATAGTTAATTAACCTACTGCACTCTTGCCTTGGTCTGGAATAATTTACATTATTAAGGTTGAAAAAATTTCACTTGTCATATTATAGCTATTAATATAACGAGAATATTATGCGATTTATAATAATCGAGGACGTTGCGACAGGCGAGTCATCTTAGGAATGTCCGAGATGGTTTAAACCGCAAATATTCGAGTTATATTCAAAGCTTTATCGTATCAATTTTTAAACAAAACACTGATTTAAAAGTAATAGAAGATTTTGGTATTCCCGCACATATTTTGAAGTCAGCAGAAAGTGTGAAAATGAATTTGTTGCCAGACAAGTCAAAAATTCAATACGAAAAAGAATATCGTGTTTTTTGTGAGTGGCGAGACAAGGAACAGGTTGGAGGTGCTGGAGAAACAGAAATGGAAAGTGTACTATTCAACCATGTGGTAATTTTTTTTCTAAAATTCCTGGAAAAATTGCTACATATTGCTACATGCGCCAGAACTCGCACCCCAGGGAAAAATGCCATATAAGGTAAGATACCAGGAACATGGAAAAAATGTTAAAAAATTTTATCTGTAAAAATTTCGAAGTTATGAGGGTTTAAAGTTTGCACTTTAACTCTATTTATTTTTGTTGGAAAAATAATTTTCCAAGTTTTTTTGCTATAGGCTATTAAAAGAGGAAACAAGGAAGCTGTATCCTAAATTGTAACTCTGTTTAATGTTATTTGTGGCTTTTATTGGCAAAAATTTTGTCCCTTTGCTAAATAATTGTACAAAAACATATACAAGATCATCAGTATCATTAAATATATATAAAAAAATCAAATGTCAAAATTTTTTGACATAGAATTTTTTAAACATTTTTTTCATGTTCCTGGTATCTTACCTTACTTGAAAATTTTCTCTGGGGCGCGAGTTCTGGTGCACCCTGTATTTCAAACTCGAAAATCTAGCTATGTAACACCGGCATTAACACTGCATTAGGAGAAGTGCAGTTGGGTGGATGGGAGTCCATTAAGTTTGCAAAGGGGTATTTAGAAGAAAATCTAGAAAAGAAGATTTCTATTGCGCATAAAATTCAGGTCGGAAGGGTATCTATGGCAAGTGCTTCTGGTACTAAAGAATCAATGAAAATGTGTGCTGAATTATCTGGGAGCGCTACAGGAGATGCGGCAGTCAATATGGATGGGAAAGATGTGTCTTTCAATTTTCATAATTGTAAAAATATTGAAATTAATGTTCAAAAATAATTTTATACTATGTTAATAAGTTATCAGTTCTAATAAATTATTACAATAAATCATATCTGGCAGTAACTGATGTATTATGTGAAACTAACGTGTTATGGTATTTCTATAATATTATGACCCATATAATTGTACCGAAATATTTGCAATTATAGAGACATAATAAACGATGATACGACAAAATTATTATCGAATTAAATTATTAAATGCTATTATTTTCTAATCTTATCTATAATCGTTTTCATATTAATGTGCTTTGAAGTTATTCGTTGGAAGGTATCGCTTTGAGGTGGCAACCATGCAAAAATTCCAACAAGCCTAACTTCAATCTTCCCTAAAAAATATCTTTTCAAATAAATACCCAAGTTTGTGAGGTAGCAAAAAATTAATAAAATTAACAACAAACATAAAGATTTTTGTTATTATTAATGTGATTAAATTTATTCTGAATGACACTTTTTGTGTGAATCGGCCTTTTAAGTAAAAATACATTTAGACTTCTACAACCTACTTGATGCAAATTAATATGAAAAAAAGTATACATTGCAAGAAATTATGATTATCACAGTACAAACACATTTTTTCCAATTAAGACCACCAACATTATAAATTCTATCCTCAAATCCAATTCCTTTTGGCAAAATCCTTAACAACGAAAACAAACTTCCTTTTATGTTCCTCACTACCAGCTCCTGCTATAATATTATCAACGGAAAATTCCGAAATACGCTTAACTCTGCTCTTATCAGTAAAAACAACAAAAAGCATAGAAGCCACATACCAAACTGCAAATTCCTTGCCTCAAAATCAAGCTCTTTCTCAAACTCTTCAAAACCAAACTTTTGAACATCACATTTAAGGGTGTCCGCGACCAACGATTCGAAACGTTAGTATATTGAAAACAAGATTACTCTCTTAATATGCAACAGAATTTCATGTATTATACATCAAAATAAAGGTTTTTTAAATCTACAGGCCGATACGTTGAGATTTTTTTTTTTTAATTCAATACTTTTAAAAAAAGAACAAAAATGCATAAATGGTGAACTTGAAAACAACTTTACTCGGTCATTTTTCAAGTAATCAATTTTGGTTTTTTTAAGATAATTTAAAAGAATATTCTATAGGCCGATACGTTGGCCTTTTTTTAAAAAAGTGTTTAGTTTTTGAGATATTGTGTTTGATGTAAAAGTCACGATATTTAACGGTAGACCTAAAGATTCGTTTTAGGGTTTTGGTATTTATTACAAAATAATAATTCTTAACAAATTCAACAAACACCATGTAATAAAACACTGTTGTTTTTAAATTATTAATAAATATATTTTGCCCAAAAATGTCTCCTAGTTCATTGCTTTTACCACTAGAGGCGTTGCCAGCGCCGCTTTTATGCAGGATAGGGTCTCTACTTGCCCTTGTACCAACCCAAGCAAAGGACGGATTATGGTCATCTTTATCATGTAATTAGCATAATAATTTGCAGTTATTATTATTAGAAAACTAGAAACAGAAACATTTGACGTGAAATGAAAAAATAAGCTAATTTTGTTGGAATTGTACTTCTATCGAATCTCCCGTGTTTAGTAGACCTGACCATTTTTTTTTCGAAAAAATGTGCGCCTTGTGGGGATCTAAGATTATTTATTATGTATGAAAGTTTGTATGTACTATTCCTTTTAGTTAAACGACACAAGCACATTTTATTTTTCTTTACAAAATCAAAATCAATCATGTTGCGAATGTTCAAAAAACCGAATAGTTGCATCAGTTCTCAATATCATAATCTATATTTTATAAAGTTAATAATTAAGTTTGACTGGGTCTGTCCTGATTTCCATCTCACGTTTGTTGATATTCATTATATAATACTATTTGTGTTTTTATTTTATTATTCTTAATCCCTGAATTCGCAACTAGAGGATTTTGTCTAAATAATAGTAAAACGTAGGTCAAAATAGTAGTACGAAGTAAACTTTTTGTTGATTGAATGTAAACTCCAGGAAAATACCGTGGAATTACGTTTACCCCAAAGTTAGTACACCCAATACATACATTATAAATTTTATATTTTTATGATTTTAGGACCTGTAAAATATGACATAATATTCTGAGATATCTAATGTTGCAAAGCAAACTAATGTCTGGGGAAATAGGATTCAGTTGTGATCAAAGATGTGAGACCCTCAAGTGTAAATTATGTAGTTTTGAAACAGATTTCAAGCTTACTCTGCATTATCATATCAGAAAAGTCCACAGTTCAAATAAAAATGATGGAGTTTGTAGAAAAATTGCAAAATACAAATGCCGCAAGTGCCATTTTGCCGCCTATTCAGTATTACTGTGGTTCAAACATAATGTTAGAAAAAACTTGAATATTCATGAATTTACTAAAGTTTACAAATTTGAATGCACATATTGTCCATTCAAAGCTGCTCAGAAGGTAACATTACAATTCCATATCCTTAACAGACACACTCCATCTGAAGAAATTAAATGGTTTCAATGTGAACATTGCGATTACAAAACTAAACTAAAATCATCATTAATTAAACACATCAATTTAAAACACACACTTATTGATGAATCACAGTGGTTCAGTTGTGATTTGTGCAATTACAAAACACAACAAAAACGGTATTTAAGAACTCACAAAATTTACAATCATTCACAAGATATTGTCATGTATGAATGTACCCAATGTACATACAAAACAAAAAATCGACGCCACCTGAAATGTCATGAATTAAGACAACATACGACTCTTAATGACGTCCAGTGGTACAATTGTGAGCTCTGCACCTACCAGGGGAAACTCAAATCAGATGTATCGAGGCACATGCGATTACGACACGAAGAAAAGACTTTGAAAAAGAGAAATGAGTTCTCTTGCACCTTTTGTCCCTATAAAACCTTGTTTAAACATTCCCTTAAGAGACACGTCCAGAGGCTCCACACTGCACCTGAAGAAATCCAATGGTTTGAATGTGATCAATGCGACTACAAGGGCAAATGCAAAAGATATTTTAACCTTCACAAAAAAATTCAACACTCTGATGGTAGTGTTAATAGGATCTCATGCGATATTTGTTCCTTTAGGACAACAACCCAAGAGGCGTTGAAGAAACATATCGCAAAAAGACACCCTTCAGGAAAGTTGTTGCACGAATGTCCACACTGTTTTTTCACCACGGGACTTAAAACTTTCCTTAATCGTCATCTTGTGACACAACATGCTGATGCTGAACAAATCAAGTGGTTTAAATGCGATAAATGTGATTACAAGGGAAAACTTAAAACTTATTTGATGAGACATATTAAGTTAATTCATAGAAGCAAGGGCACTAGTAAGATGTTTACTTGTGATTTGTGCGAGTTTAGGAGCAAGAGTAAGGAGAATCTAAAGAGGCATAAGATTAGTAGGCATATCACAATTCAAAAAAATATGTAGTATATTAATCCTTAGTTCTTAAAATTTTCTAGAAAACAAGTGCTATTTTTGGTTCTGTCACTTCATTTTAAGTTGTTGTAAAAGTACACTAGAAATATTTATTATAAGAAGTATAATAATAAAAAACTAGAACCCAAATTTCTATTTTGACGCTGCCAACCTTGCAATAATTATTCTACATTTTATGATGCTAGGGAAAAAGTTCGTATGACAATTTTTATCTACTCTTTAGTGTAAATTTTTAGCTTGGGTTAAAAAAGAAAGAAAACTATTTCAAATTAACAAGGTAGAACAATTGATAATAAAGAATTGTGTAACTTTTTGTACCAACTTCTAGTTCCAATATTTACAAAACCATTTTAATATTTGTTTCCGCAATTTTTTGTTTTAGGTACAATTGGAGGACAAATTACTTCGGTCCTCAATGTTGGAGCCCTTGAGTGGCATAAAGTAAGATTTCGTTTCGTTAACAATGACTATGACACTTGACGGCAAGATCCCCAACTAAGACATTTCTTTTGATAGTTTTGTAACCTTTTTGGGAACAACTTTTTTCACACTACAGGTTGATTCACGAGGAATAATGAGCCTAACCAAATTCTTGATGCAACCATCATTACACTTTTGCAAGTTGCTTTTCGACACTTAAAAAAAAACCTATAATTTGAATCCACGATGCCCATTTTTGACAAACGTTACAATTTTATTATAAACTGAGCAAAATGTGGACTTATTCCAATGATGAGAAGACTGACATGATTTCAGCTTATGTAGAATGTTTGAAAAATGCATCTCCTGCTTCCTGTGTAATGTCCAATGAAATCTCGAGAGAAAGAGCATCTTCTGACACGATCAGGTTAGTTTTGAGAAAATTGGGTTCCTGTTAAGTTTTCAAAACGAAGGGTACCACTGAATGAAACTTGAATGAGTGTCTTCCATATTTCGTATCTTAATATACCCATTATTGTGTTGGTATTTCAATTAATACTTCTCCCTGCTCTTTGACATATCGCAAAATTTAAAATCGTTTATAGGGGAAAAGAGGATGAACAAAAAGTCAAAGTCATTTTTGCATATCTTATAGAAACTCGCGTAACAATTTTCTTGAAAACTGACTTTTTTTATATAATTGTAATATTTATACTATGAAAAAATTAATAAAACGAATTTAAAAGAAAGTCAAGAAATGTTATTGTCCCTGATACGTTTCTTTGTCACTATTTCGCACTTATTTGAATTAGTTCTATCAACACATGATGGCCGTCTATTTTATTATTTTTTAGGTTATAAAATGTATTTGTTTTGATTCAAATTCAAATAGTAAGTAGTAATTGTAAATTTTGTAGATTGCTAAGATGCCAGGCAGACGATGTGCAGTATTTGGGTGCAAAAACAACCAGATGAAATTGAAAGCAATGGGAATAGATATTAAATTCCACACCTTCCCAAGTGGTACAGATGCTGTCTCGTCAGCAACAAGAAATGAATGGATACAAAGATGTAGACGAGTTAAAATTAATCCTCTCACTAGCGCAATTTGTTCCAGCCACTTTACAAACAAGGATTACGAACGTGACCTAAAGAATGAGTTGTTAGGTATTACATATCTTTCACTATAACGTTAAAATTTTCAAGTTCTCCTTTAATAGGTAAACCATTAAACAACCTACAATTTGTTATTAGGTTTGCCTTTGAAAAAAAAGTTAAAAAAGAAAGCCGTTCCATCGTTACATATGCCAACGTCAGGAGAAGAACAAAAGCTCGTTGAATCTGATCGAACTAAGCGATTAACACGAAGAAAGCAAAAGGGTCTAAGTGAGAAATTAATTGACAAACCGGCCACAAGTCCACCGCAATGTGGAGAACAAAGTTACGTTCAGGGCAAAAGTAGATTCTGTGCGGATAGATATACCGAACTCCAAGAAAAATACGAAAAACTGAAACAAGAATTTTTCCATTTTAAACTAGAAAGCCAAAGAACAATAAAATTATTGAAGGGACAAGTACGATATTATAAAACCCGACATGACAAATTGAAGAAGAAGGAGAAAGATAATGGGTTAAAATGGTTAAAACTGGTATTAACGGATTAGCTAATGTCACAAAAAAGAAAGAAGTTGGAAGGGAAAGAATTTTAATTTTTTTACTATTGCTATTCTCAATACTTATTAAATATCACGTAATAAAGTTACATTACATTTTTTGTTGTATTGAATCACTTATAAATTGGTGTATGATTACATGAAAAATTATACAGGTGTTTCAGAACAAGTGCTCCAGAGAAAATGCCAAGTAAAACATCAGAAGCAAAAATGTATCTATTAAAAGTGAGAAATTATGGGGGTTTAAGGTTTGAACTTTAACTCTATTTCTGTTGGAATAATAATTTGACATGCTTTTTTGCTGCAGGCTATTAGAAGAGAAGCTGTATACTGGATTGTAACGAGGTTTAATGTTATTTGTGGCTTTTATTTGCAAAGTTATTGAACCTTTACTGAATAATTATGAAAAAACATATACAGGGTCGCTAAATAGTATGGATACAGATAAAAATTTTCATAACTGTTTAACAGAACTCGTCGAAATTTGGGAAACAGTTAGAAGTGTTCAAATTCTATCATCTGAGACCTTTTTTAATTTTCTACCATCATTTATTTTCAAAATACGAGGCTAACTTGATTTTTTTTAATGGCACGTAGGGTCTAATTTAATTATTTTTGAAACAGCATTTTTTTCGTATTTTGATGTAACATATGCCCACCTTTATTGTTATTAAAAGGTAGAAAAATAAAAATTCAAAAATGTAATTCTAAAACAGTAAAACATAATTAGCTTTGAAAATGCTATTATTAGCGATTTGTCACTTGCATATTAGTCAAAAATTAAACTTGTGTGCAATAATTAGTTTAACAATGGTACATTTAAGTGAAATTGAGCTTATAGAAATTCTCAAGTCACTAGAACATCGTTTGTAGCATAAAGATTATGTAATTAAGCTTTTTTAATTAAAATGTGTTCTTTTTCAGTTAAAATAAATGTTATTTTAATAATTATTATTAACTTTTACTTATTTTTTGGTCAAAGTTCAGGCGGCAAAGAGCTAACGATAGATAAAGACAACATTTCCAAGGCTAACAAAATTTTACATGTTTAAAAATTTTATTAGTTCGATATTTTTTTTTAACTTTTGATTAAAATAAAAATGCTCTCTTTAAAAATATTAAATTTGACCCTTCTTGCCATTAAAAAAAAATCAAGTTAGCTTTGCAGAGCAGAGCAGAGCAAATAGAGATAGAAATTTGATAAACATCTGAGACGATGGAATTTAAATACTTTTAAGCATACTCGTATACCAAATTTCAATAAGTTTTGATGAATAGTTTTCATAATATTTAACTGTATCCATAATTTTTAGGGACATTGTATACAAAATTATCGGTAACATTAAATAAACTTAAAAAAGGTTTAAATGTCAAAAAAATTGTCTTATTAAAGTATATTTCTCTTAATATATTCCTGAAGTTGAGGTTTTTACTAGAGACAATCAATCTTAGTTTTAAGACTCTTAAAAGAGTCTAGAAAATTTCAAGAATTTACAGAAACTAAAGTTCAAGAGCTCAAATTTAGTTTTGTCTAAATTTACTTAGTTTGCCTCATAGCACTGTCAATGTGGAAAGGATTTATTCTAATATCAGTCTAAATAAAACTAAAACCTGTAATAGTTTTTTAACTGATGTTCTTGCTGGATTTTTACATACCAAAGAACTGATTGGTAAAAATAATTGGTGATATGAAAAGATGTAAACAAAGTAAAGTTTTTAGTTAGGTTTTTTTTCTTAAATTTTCGTTTATTATTTTTAATGTTTTTATACACTTACATCTAAAATACGTTTGTTTTGTTTGTAACCGTGAATAAATTTTTATTACATTTTTTTTGTTGAGTAATTAATATAAAAAATATCACAAATTTAAGTAATAACTATAATGTAAAGGTAAATGTTTGAAGTAATTTTGTGGTTATCAGTTCAAGACTTCAATTAAGCTAGGGTGGCAAAACTGCAATTTACACTTGAGTCACTTCTTTTCAGTTGAATGCATGGAAACCTTATGCCTCTTAACATTCCATTTTGTTGTCGACTTGTAATCGCACAAATCGCAACTAAACATTTTCTTGTCATTATTTTCATGAATTATTTTAATATGTCTAGCCAAATATCCCTTAACCTTTGCTTTATAATCGCAATCATTACATGTAAACCATTCGACTTTTTCAGGGTCGGTATGTTCTCTTACAATATGTTGTTTCAGATGTACCTGATATCTCGTCGTGAAAAAACAGTGAGGACATTCAAGCAACAATTTCCCTGAAGAGTGGGTTTGTGTGATATGTCTCTTCAAAGCTTCCTCAACAGTCGTCTTAAACTGACAGATATTGCATGAGAATTTCTTATCACTAGTATCAGAATGATGCATTTTTTTGTGATGACTGAGATACTCCTTGCATTTTCCCTTATAGCTGCATTGATCACATTCAAACCAGTGGATTTCTTCAGGTGCAGTGTGGCATCGGATGACATGTTGATCAAGAGCACGAGGATATATTGTTCGAAGAGAACAGAAATTGCAAGTGAAATAGATGCCAGTTTGATTTCCTGGTTTCTCTTTTGTATGTTTTAATCGAATGTGTGACAATATATCTGATCTTGTTTTGGAACGGTAACTGCAATGGGCACAATTGTACCACTCTGCATCATGTGGGATTGCATGTTGTCTTATCATGTGGCATTTCAGGACCATTGAGTGTCCACTTTTGAAGCTACATTCTGTACATTCATACAATTCTTCAGACTTGAGTTTTTTCAAATTTTGTTGAATCTTGTCATTGCAGGAATCACAAGTGATATAATCAGGTTCGTCGCTTCTGTGTCTCAGTTTCAAATGTCTTGTTAATGAGGGTTGAATTGTAGTTCTAAAATTACATTTCGGACAATGCAACCATTCTTTTTCCTCAGGTGGAGTATGTTTGTTAATCATGTGGTATTTCAATGTACATCCTTTATTTGCTTTGAACGGACAGAGAGTACACTCATATTTGAATTCCGTATGTCGTCTTCTTAAGTGGAGTTTCAAGTCACCTCGATGTTTCGTTTTGTATTCACATTTCGGACAGTTATGCCAGACTGTATGTTCGGGAGATGAATGATTGTAATTTTTGTGTCTTTTTAAATTCATCTCTTGTTGAGTTTTGTAGTTGCACAGATCACAGCTGAACCATTGAAGAGCATCAGTGTTTTCGTGTATGACACTAGTGTGCCTTAATAATGATGACTTGGATTTGGTTTTAAAGACACATTGTGAACAGCACAACCATTTTATTTCTTCAGAGGGGGTATGCCTGTTACGGATATGAAGTTGTAGTGTCACTTTTTGGGCAGCTTTGAATGGACAAAATGTGCATTCAAATCTGTAAACTTTAGTAAATTCCTTCATATCTAAGTTTTTTCTAACATTATGTTTGAACCAAAGTAATACTGAGTAGGTTGCAAAATTACACTTGCATTTATATTTTACGATTTTTTTAAATAATGTCTTTTCATTTTTATGCAAATTCTTGTGTACATTTCTGACGTGGTAATGCAAAATAATCTTGAAATCTGTTTTGAAATTACAAAGTTGACACGTAAAAGCCTCAGGTGTTTGACCACAAGTGGATTTCCGTTTATCCAACATTTTCTACGAAGTTCCAGGTTGTATTTTTTCCTGAAATTAGTAAAATAATAATTTTATACAGTATTGTTTGTACTAACTTTGAAATTAAGTCAACAGTAAATTGTAGTGGCTTTTTTGAGTATTTTCATTTTTTGTCACGTTTGACCTACAATATCATTGTTTGTGTACTATTTCGTATAAATCTTTTATATGTGAATTCTGGAAATTGATAATATAATAATTTGGTTTCAAAAATTTAAAAATATCTTTGTTAAAGTTAGTATATTTAGTTAATTTTTATTACTAAATACAAACTGTGATAAAAACAAACTTAAAATAAATTTAATAAAAGTGAAGAAATCGTTTACGATATTTAAACGTTACTTAATTTTAGGATTTCTCGTAATTTTGATTTAGATCAATCAAATATTTAGAAAAATTCAAATTTCTTAATGTCGGAGCAGATAAATAATCAATTTTAGAATTATAATAATTAAAATATACAAGGTGCCCATTTTATCAGTTCTCTCCTTAAATTTTATAAATAGGCAACCAATAATTTGTAAATTTCTTGGTGTTGTTCGCATTATTATACATTTGAGTTTTGAACTTAATTGGTTTTGAAGTTTTTGATAGTCAAGCACAGACTATGATTATTCAATTTAGAATAATTAATACTTTAGACAAAATAATTTATGAAACGTATAATATGTTGCCTATTTTTGCTTCTTAAACGCTATGGCATTTTTTTGCACTCTTCACGTGCGAAGTACAGGGTGATTCATTCATCTCAGCTCCGGTCTTCAAAAATAAAAAATAGGGTGTTCCATTTAAAAAAAGTTATTTAACCTTTAACAAAATGCGACATTTTTTTAACTTTGCGTCTGCAATACGACACTGCAATTGTTTTAAAGTTTGTACTTTACAGTGGTATTTTTTTTTTCTAGCTATTTTAACTTTTTGTGTAATAAAGTTTTAAAAAGAAGTTAACGTGGGAGCGTTAACAACTCGATTTTTAAAAAATTATTTTATTTCACTCAAAATTATTATTACACTTATTTTAATTATTATTATTGTTGTTTCACTTTACAATTATTTCACTAACTTCACAATTAATTCTCGAATTAATATTTAGACTATTAACTTGAACCAGACTTATTTCAGACTAAAAACACATTTTTCCTATCCTGAATTTAATAAAAATTAGTGCAACGGTTGCAAGGTTTTTGATGATGGTAAAGCGCGTGATGATTACGTTTCCTTATGGAAGCTTCTAGTTAATCCATAGGCACGTGGATGGAGATATCATAACAAAGAGGGTGTTTTTGTCAAAAAAACAACTTAATTCAAAAACTAAGCATAATCGACTAATAGAAGTTTAGCTTAAAAACATTGAAATTAAAAGCTACATTCAAAAATGCCAAGAAACATATGGTATTTGTAATGTAAAATTATTTTTATTTAAGTAACTAAAGTTAACAAAATTACAAAAGGCAAAACAAACATTAAAATGAGGAACGCGCACTTCTAAGTCTCGTAGCGTCTACCCTCGGTCTTACGACGACTGCGCCGCAGTTGGGGCGCTGGGCATTTCTGCCATGGCGGCGGGCTTTGCCGTTACATGTTTCATTTAAAAAACATAAGTTTGTATTGTAATTTATTTTTGGGCAACCCTGTATAATTAAAAATATTTTCCTGAAATGTGTCTTAGAATTTAAATAAAATCTACAAAATATCAAAATTCCCACTTAAAAAATAACTGAGGTACAGAAGACCGGAGCTGAGATGTAAAAATTTATAAAAAATTTTACACTTTATTTGACGGACGTGAAATAGTAGATTATGTTATTAGGAGTAAAAGTGATCGTTTATGTGGCGAAGCTGAACGTTCATTTTGCCGAACGGAGTGAGACAAATGGATTTAGCGGAGCCACATAAACTCACTTTTACTCCAAGTAACATATACTATTTTATCTGCAAACGATTCAGATGGAGAGAAAAGAGCAACACACCAATAATCAAGTAAATCATCTCAATAATCAGGACGCTTTGCAATAAAATCATAACAAACGTCACGCGTCAGTTTCGGAATTTGTGTTGAGATTTCGAAAGTGATGTTGATTGATTTAACTGGTGAATAACTAGCGTAGTTTATATCTACCTTGTACCTCTCCAGAAAATACTGAAAAAGCGAAAGAGACAAGAAAGAGACAACAATGGTAAATGTCAAAGTAAGTGTCAAGTAAAAGTGAAAATGCCTAGGCGTGAAAACAGTGTTTTTACTCCATGTCTGAAAAGTAAAACTTTTTCCTGTGTCATTTAGTCATAAAAGTGGTCACTTTTGTGACGTTTGCGGATAAAAATATTTTTCGTTAGGTACCTACATGCTATTGATGTTTTTGTTCTGATAAAAATGTCCTCAAATGGTTAGTAATTATTGCAATTTTTAAAAGAACATTTGCTTTCCATAAAGTTATTAATTAATGAGGTTAAGAATGGCTTAAAAAATGTCTCACAGATATACTAAATACGGGACAAATCCCAGAACAGTTCAAAATAGCTCAGCAGTGGGATTCTGATCTTTACGTACGATACGAATACGTGCAAATCTCGAAGGCACTGGAATTCTGATTTTACGAATCGAGTATGAAGGCCGGCACCAAATGTCATTTTTCCACGGCAGCAGTAGAGGTGCCGTGATGGTATCGTGGACGTATTTTCGCATGGCTAATCTAAAATTTTAAATGTAATGTTACCAAAATGTGGTATTGCTAACTTTGGAATTTTAATAAGGCCCTTTTGGATGCAGTGTATTCCAAATTCCACATAAAGAATATTTAGTATTAAGTTTGTCAACAGATCGGTGTTACAACATTCCAAATTTTGATAATGACTCTTTTTAAAATTAAAGAAATTGGTTCAATTTTTCAATTTTTAAAATAGAAATATGTAAATTGAACTTATTAATCATTATTTTTTTATATTATGTTTTGAAGCTTGAACCAGTCAGGGTCCAACAGTGCAGAAAAAAAAAACAGCGATGAAATAATGAATTATATAATTATTAATAATATACAGGATGATTCTTAAATAGACCACCGACAAAATTTTATCACAACTTCTCAAGGATAAATGGAGGCAAACTGTACGATTTTTAAGTTTATACCTTTTAGGGGCTAAACCTCCTTGATCCGTGCCACTTACTGAGTTTATGAATTGTTGCATTGATCAAGTACATTTTGATCAAATTAATACCATGGTTTCCATTACCTGTATAAAATATAATAAATAATACTATTTACGAACACATTAGTGGCGTATGCTTTACCTCGAAAATAACTTTATTTGGAGAACGATTAAACAAAGATTTTTTTTAATATGTTCTCAGCATGTTCTCATTTGATACTACCAAGGATAAAATTTTGTCGGCCTATTTAAGAATCACCCTGTATATAATTTAATATGCATAATTATTATTATTATTATATTACGTACATAATTATTATTATTTGCCTCAGAGGCAAAATCAAAGAAAAAAATATTGAAGATAGATAAGAGATGATATGAGTGAAATTAATCGGTGTTTATTGTTAACTGCTAAAAACTAAAATGAATGGTTTTTAAATTGGGCCTTGCGTTAATAATTGATATAATTGATATAAAAATACTTCTAGTAAGGTTGTTATTGGAGTAAAAATCATAATGGACCCATTGCATCTAATTTTTTGAGGAGACCGCATGCGTCACCTCCGCCCCTTTTGTAACCGCGAAAAAGAAATGGTCCAATCAGAAGTGAACAGTGAAACGCAAGTTAGTGTAATCTATGGTGATTAGGTTGGTTGTCTGAATGTCTACAAGGGCACTTGACCGGCTTATGTTAGCGTGCTCGCGTGGTTATAGTGTTTTGTATAAGCAACTTTATTAGAACCGTGTTGAACACGCTTTTGACGTTTCGTTTTAGGTTATCTACACAGTGACTTTGGTTGGTAGCGATTGGCATTTTATTCTAAAGCAAATTTAAAAATAATGGGTGGAGTTATTTCTCCCGCCGCGCATGCGGTACCCTCGATTTTTCCTTGATGCAATGGGTCCATTGCATTTACACAAAACAAAAATATCGCAAAACAATGCGTATCAAATGTCCAAAAACTCATTTAACCTCAAAAAGTAGATCTAATAAACACAGGCAAATCGCCTACTTTTTAGGGACATTTTTTAAGGTTGGCTATCGTTACTCGATACCGAATTTGAATCAATTTTGCGTTCGAAGCGAGTTCGGCATCGAGCACGTACCTTCGAGACGATACGTATGGTATCGTGAGATCAGAATCCCCCAGCAGACCCTTGCCATTCTGAGACCAGGAAAACCAAGTGACGACCCAGCTAGCTACCGACCAATCGCACTGCTCAGTGTCTGTTACAAGTTACTGGAGAGGCTAATATACAACAGAATATATCAAACCGTGGACGATATCATCCCGCCAGACCAGGCTGGATTCAGATCCAACCGAAGCTGTTGTGAACAAGTGCTAGCCTTAACGTCATATATCGAATCAGGATACCAAAGAGGACTAAACACGTCAGTAGCATTCGTTGATTTGACCGCCGCATACGACACCGTACGGCTGGACGGTCTAATACTAAAACTAAATAAAATAATACCCTGCTCCAAGTTAACTAAACTTACGGGAAACATGTTAAGAAACCGTTACTTCAAAGTCACTCTTGGACAATCAACTAGCAAGTCATTCACCATCAGAAATGGATTGCCCTACGGATCAGTGCTAGCCCCTATACTCTTTAATCTTTACACCAGTGATATGCCGGCAATCAACTCCCAGAAGTTCTGCTATGCTGACGACATCGATATAGCCACCCAAAGTAGGCTCCTAGAGGATGGTGAGGAGACTCTAACGGCGGATAGAAATCTTCGGGAGATACTACAAACAGTGGCGACTATGCCCAAACCCAAGCAAAACCGAGGTATGTGCATTTCATCTTAATAACCGCCTTGCAAATATAGACGTAAATGTCACATTCTGTGGTAAAAGAGTAAAACACAACAGCCACCCCAAATACCTTGGCGTTACACTAGACCGGTCCCTAACATATAAAAGACACTTGGAGATAACCGGACAAAAACTAAATACCAGGAACAACATAATTAGAAAACTGGCCGGACT